GTTGACTAGTTTCATACAAATATATCATCGGAATGCTGTAGAAAGGATATGGAAGTATATTTGTTTCCTGGCGAATCCTGAAGCTTCAATATCATCAGTAAGTTAATCTCGTCAACTATTTGTGCACTGTCCTTTTCCTTTTATGGCTTTTAATTCATCTAATCTTTCTACTAGTATTTTTTATTTGTGAAATGCACGTATCAATTTGATCACATTTTAAGCAAGCTGCCAGTTTCATTATGTCAGTCGTTGATCGACAGGGACAACGACTCTCCGCAGAAAATGCCCGTTTCACTGCTGATTTGTTTCCGGGATTTCTAAGCGCTTTGAAGGCATGCCAGATTAGCTGGAGTAGCACTAATATACAAGGGCTATTATTCGGATCGAATAACGTAATTATTTTTAAGATTCTTGTATCCTTCTAGAATTCTGTAGTTGTTGATGTTTAGCTGACATGATTCTTGTTTGTCTCGAGTTCTGCTCAGGATCTGGCATTCCTCGACAAACTGTGTATATCAAAATATTGCTCAAATTCCAGAATCTGTCAAACTCTTGTTCAACTACTGACTTTTCAAATATGAAGTTCAGTCCAAATATTCCTGTTCTCTATCGTCCCTTGCGGGTTTCTGAAGACACCACTTTATTGGATATCAGTACATCATTTTATCGCACATCAGTGTATGCAGCTGGGACAAACTATTTCTCACTTCACCAACAGGTTATGCTTGTTCCTTCATATGCTGTAAATACGGTGATAATTCTTGTCGATATATTCACACCAGACTTATTTTATATTAATTATAAGTTAATGAAAAGTTAATGTGTATTGGAGGCTTCACGTAAAAGGAGGAAGAAGTCATCTCGCATTTCCGGACGTCGCGGACATCAGTTTGAATTTCATGATGAGCGATCTCTAATCCGTGCTGTACGCGCTGCTGCTTGTGCTGCGCGCGAAGTGACCTTGGGTGAAGAAGTCGAAGACGACAGCGCCGAATCGGGACAGGAAAGCGAGGCTGGTCCATCGGTACCGAGAAATAACAGTCGGGCAAACAGTTCGACAAATCGTAATGAATCCGTTTCTACGTTCAGGTCCTTATTGATCATAAAGACAGATTTTCTGCATTCGCCAATGATTTGATGTTTCTGCCTAGGTTTTTTAATATTAAAAATGATATTTTTACAAAGTCTGGGATACTTCATTACCAAAGGCAAGATAACCAGGTAGTCCGGACAATTATGGTAGTAGTATCATCTGTTTTTCTTTTTTGAATTGAATCTGAAATGAGTAAAATCAACTAATTTTTGATGTCTTCAGCAATATAAACTATCCAAAGAGTGATGTTGATGAACTGTTTGCTATTGCACATGTACAGCAGTCAAACTGGGACATCAAGTTCGCGAGATGTGAAGCTCTAATGTCACATGGGTATGCACATCAGGCATGTGTAATGGCAGTGGAACTTGCGGAAGAAATGCTGCGCCGTCCCCCAAATCTACTTCATCACTCAGCGGAACAACGATATTACCCAGATTTATCTGCAGTTAGTGTTGAAATTGGAGATTCACATTTACCAACTTTTGTAAGTAAATTTTGTTGTGCTGGTCTCATACTTGTCTTGAAACCTTGATTTAAAATGTTACTTTCAATTGATTATTGTCAGCTACTACGAAAATTTCTCTTGTTCCAGATACAACGGCATAGAAGAAGGCGGTTTTCTCATTCAGGTTCTGCTACTCCAATCTTAGAAGCCCCACTATTTGAACTTGACGAGCAACTTATCGAAAAATCGCAATTAGCAGAGAATATATATACAAGGTGAACCATGATTCTTTCTATCCAATACTTTTTTCATACTTTACTGTTCATGTGTAAAAGACCAGAAGAACGCTTTTAGAACACTCTTTCTGGTGCAAACGTTAATGAAGGAACCAAAAACACATCGATTGGCCTTTACACTTGCGATATCTGTACTTGAATTACCTCGTAGTCCTGCTGCGAACAAATTTTTGGAAGTTAAACTTTACTACTTGGTATGATTTTCCGTTGTTCATAATGGTAGTTCCATTGTTTGAGATATGGAATATTTCGTTCACTAATAGGAACTTCTTATATGAATGATTATCAGATGCTGCTCGCTATACTAGCTTTAGAAATTTATACTTCATGGTGATCTTGTTAAGGAAACAGAGCTGGTTAGCTTGTTGCGAAGAATAGAAATCGGTGCTCCGGAATTGCAAATAATCAGAGATCGTGCGAGGAAGTTCGTGGAAAATGCCCTTCTCTTAGCCTCTGCACCTCAGCCTTACGTTTTACCTATTTCGTTGGGCCATTATATTTTGGACTCCTTGTCATTTTCTCATAATACTTGCCAAGGGTAAGTTTCTCGATTCCTCATGAGTAATGTGTAATTGTTTTATCTTGAAATATATGTTCATAACTATTTGCTCATCGTTTTTTTCCCTTAATCTTGAATTAAGGTTTAGTTTGTAGGCGCCGCACCACAAGCGGTATTGTGACGAAAAACGGTGTACAACGACGCCCTTGCGATGAAGAACTAGCTATAAAAGTCGCTTTAGAAGCACTGGGTATGAAATTGGTAGTTTCTGAAGCAGATTACTCTATGCTTTGTGAAAGTACACGACTGCAGCGTGGTGACCTGGCACTGACAATGCTACTAAGGTTGGCCTCCAATATTCTCTATGAGTATTTGACACATCCTATATTTTAGAGTAGTTTGTTATCTGGAAAAAATAGGAAGTGGAATGGTGGCGAGTTGGCTTTTTGTTTTTTTTTTTTTTTTTTTAAACAAGGAAAGAGATGAGATCTACAGGAGAAGATTCAAAACATCTCAATAGTTCTCTACAGCTTAATTCGCTTGCAAAAAATAGTCACTGTTATATTATTTGTAGGTACAAAGACAGTAATGATAAACTCGCTTTAGTACTGGACAAGTTGCTGGACCCAACTATGCATCGCATGTACAGGTAGGTTACAGTATTGTTGCATTCCATATTTTTCATGTATTTGGAGGATAAACAAAAAATTATCATTTTGAGTTGCGAATACACTTATTCATTTTTCTTGCAGAGATCATCATTCCAATGCTGCATTTTTCTTAGAGCAAGATCCATCGTACAAAAAATATTTCAACGGTCAACGACCGCATTTTCCTTTCAAGGATGAATTTCATCTTACCGAATGCAGCGAAATTTCAAATGGTATTGAAGCAAAGAAGTTTCTCTCGTTGATTTGATCCATAATGAATTCGGTACTCAAAATACAACTCAAACGAAGAGACGAGTTGATAATCGTAATATGGATATTTTTACATTTCAGCAAATATGTAAATATTTCAATTGTTTTGTTATAGTTCAATAAAATTAGTAGGTCTCGCCGGTACTGAAACAAGTATTATGACTGCTGAAAATATGCACGAAAGAAGGATGATACACGTTGCAACAAATGGCAAAGATGAAACTGAACAGCTTATTGGTAGTTTCATGCGTTTATCGCATGATTCACCGTAAGTTTACAAACTTTTTAGTTCACTTGTAGTTTGTACTTTGTTTACTTTCAATTTCCCAGATTACGGATTATGCTTTGATGGAAAATAATTGTTACTAAGGTAACAACAAATGTGAAGTGAGGTTTAACATGAAAGCTGTCATTCCTAATGAATTAATTGGCACGTTCTGATGGAATAATGAAGCAGTGCAATGATTATCGGTTTTCCAATAGAGGAGTGGTAAAATAACGTTTACTTCCATGGAGTGTATTTTTCTTATATAATGTTAAGTTGGAAACTTACGCGGACTTAAGGGATAAAATCAATTCATTTTTTAATGTATTAAATGGGAATGATATGTCAAATAATTATTGTAGGATCTATAACGATTTCCATGTTAATTGCTGCCGTTATTTCTTTTAGAGATGACTCATCATCAGTGACATCTGCGAATAGACGACGGTCATCGGATGAGAGTAACGATAGTCCATATGACGAAAGCAGCAGCTCAGGGGTTTCACGATGTTTTCCGCGGGATACTTTGCACGTAGGTTGTTAAACATTTTTCTTAGTTATCAAGTAAATAAGTAATTCCATTACTTTTTTGTCTATTTACATTTTAATTGGTTTTATTGCCTCCTGTTATCAAATGTTAAATATAGGAGTGATTTCACTGTTCATTAACTCAGGTTTTGGTGTTCTACTTTTTTCTTTTTTCCATTTTTGATATACTAAAGATACATCTTGCACTGCATGCAGTACAGGCTGTTTCTAGGAAAGTCGTTCAGCGTCCATGGGTACATCGGACTCACCTTCATCAACCCATCGTCTTTCAAATATTCTAACTGCGGATAGCACAAGTGAATTTCCTTCATCGTCTGCAGGTCACCCAGTAGAGTTGAATAATGTATTTTATCGACATAACAGGTAAATTTCTGAATTCTCCGCGATTCGGCATATTTTTAGTTAACACAAATCATTTCGACTAAAATTAAATAGATGTTAAGTATCATTTTCATACATCCGGCTGTTGAACAAGCCAGTTGTCTATGTTTAGTTACTCGAATTATTATTCTCGGCTTTATTTGCTGCTCAAAATTCTTTTCAAAGATTTGAACAGATTTTAGACTTCAAATAAATTCGAGCCGTCTGTGTAGGATTCGTTCATAGTAGGATTTATTTGAGAGATTCATTGCTATACGTGCTTTTTTTATATTGGAATAACAATATTGATTTATAACGCAACTTTCTATGTTGTGAGGTCCTTGTTTAAATTATTTTATTAAGGAATGGTAAAAAATATGACCATACTTCATTTGCACATATTCAACTTGTCATATTTCATTTGTAGACGGAAACCTATTCCTAGTTTGCCGAATCAAGCTTCTGAAGGACAGGCACACTGCATGATGGAACTTGCAAAACGTCTTCTTCTTGAAGCTGGCGGTAGCCAGAGTACCGTTATTTTTAATGCATCACAAGGCAGTCAAAACAATCCACAGCGCAGTGGTACTTTTTTTTTCAATCGTATACTGATTTTTAAGTTTCCATTAACTACCATTTAAAAATTCCCATGCTTTCCCAGGTCCTCACCGACAGTTGCATATTTGTTCATTCCTGATTGGACTCTATGCTCTGGGCTTAAACAACTTATTGTCAGCAAGTTGGCAAACTCGAACATACAGTACTAATGTTAGTTGGATACATGGTCAAGCGATTGAAATTGGTAAGTGTAATATTCAAATGAAAAAGTCATTTTACGTTTATATATGTATATGCTACATGTTTAACATTTAGGTTGTGCTGCTATCAAAATTGTTGAACGAGTCTGGGAGGCACATTTAACACCTACGGAGGTCGCTGCATTGGCCGACAAGGTAATATATAGTTTCAATTAGATTAAATTCGATGTTATCTTTTGAGTTTTTCAAAGTATATAATGTCAGGTATGTTGTAGGCTAGTCAGAGCCGCGACCCATGCATGGTTGAAGCTGCCGCAAAACTTGCATTGAGCGTATTACCGAAGGCATACGCTTTAACAGCTGCAGAAAGTCAAAAAGCGTTGCATCAGTGCAAGGAGCAAAGCGCTGATATGCTTGAAAAAGCATGTCGCGCTGTTGAACAGGTTCTGTCTGCTCAACTATTTAAGAAATGTCCAGGATACTTTTGTTTTATTTAATGTAAAATCCAAGGTTTCATCAGAGTATCACTTGAATACTTTCCTTATTATACAAAAACATTTATACAAAAACAGTGGGAACTTTGATTAATTGCTGTTTTGCAAAATTCGGTGTTGAGTGACATACATTTAAAGATGAAAATTAAGTACACAGATATAAGCTTCTGTTTTCACAAGAATTGCTTTTTCAGGCAGCCGAAAAGGATGGTGTATATCCAGAAGTGTTGTTCAAAGTTGCTAGACATTGGTTCGATTTGTTTGTGGATTCTGAATCTGTTAGTAGCCCACAGACAAGTTTTCAGAATGCAATTCCACCGCAACATCCAACTGGGATTCCTCAGTTACACAGCGACGTTTTGCAGACACAGGCCCATGAGGTAAGCTGTGGTAATGATATCACTGTTAATTCCTCTGATTGCTGTTAACTCTGGAGGTGATAGCCGTAGTAGCTACAAGTATTCCTAATAGAAGATTTGTTAAATGAAAGTAACTAGAAAAATGCTTCTAAAGTCATCTTTTTTTTGCTAAAATGTTTTTAAGTAAAGGTAAGTAGTTAAATAGACACGTAAAAAGTAGTTTGCACAATAAATGCACTTCAGATAAAAATTAAATTTAGAACATAGGTTAAATTATGCTGATTAGTTTTAGTCTAGAAACTTTGGGATACAAATTGCGTCGAATGTTGGAATTTTCCCTGTGTTTCACATCCTTTCATGGGTCTGAAGTGTAATCGGTATGGTGCGTCGGTAATTTTTTTCCAGACCGTTTATTCTACGACAAATCCACAAGCGTTACAACTACCTGTTCAGTGCAGACCTATGCCTTATGCAGCGGCTTCGTATCATTTCATGCCACCCCACCATCACCTTCATCAGGCAGGACCACATCGCCCTCCGCTCTATGTATCTCCGGTATCATGTACTCAACAGCAAGTTGGAATTCACTATTCTCAACGGTCAGCGTACAGTGTGGATCTATCCAGATATTTTTTTTTCTTTTGGTATATGCTCTCAGTAAAGCAGTATATAGATATGAATGCCAAGTGTTATATTGCGTTATTTAGATAAGTTTATTGAAAGAAAACTGTTATGTTCACTTAATTGCAAAAAGTGATGAATAGGATGTGGTTGTGACTATTTGACACGCTTTTTTTTTAAAGATTTGTTCCTGTTCTTTTTATTACAGAGGACCATTACCAGTTGGTGCGATGTCGATGGTGCCGAGGCAACAGTCAAATACTATTTATCCTCCGCCTGTGGTTGGTGCTACACCATCGCGAGCCCTACACATTAGTCATTCGGCTCCAAATTTAAGCCCGATACAAGCTGTTCAGATCTCCAGACGTAATCAGCCTTTGACTGTTTTACAACAACCACTTTGTCTTGGTGCAGGAGCGACCCGCTGTCAATTTCCTACTGTAGGGGAACAATGCATTCAAGTACTTAAAGTTTTTTTAAATTTTTATTTTGCTTTCTAAAGATCGATTATTTTATTCTTTGTGTTCCCTATAATTTAGATTTATCAGGAAGCCTGTCAAATTAAATCCACAGACAAATTTGAAATTAGAAGGACAGGAGCGCTGTATTTCGATGACAGCGAAATATATTAATTTACTTGATTATTGTAGCGTTTTCAGCCCATCCCAATAAATGATGCTCTGCGACATCATCTACCTCCTCCTACATCTCTTGTACTTTGTCAGTCGACCTCGCAACCAGTCACATATTTTGGACAGGCAACTCCTCAGGTTTATTTTTCGGATGAAACGATCATTACAAATTAGTAGAATTTGGTGGGACTGGACATTTGTATACGTTTGAAATTCTAAGTATGAAGGATTTAAAGGACGCTTTTTTTGTTATGTAAACATTATTTTTTTATGCCAACGAGCAATATGTGAGATCGTGGAGTTCAGTTGCAGCAATTTTAGTTTTGGATTTTTACAGCCTCCAATGAATGTCCCGCTGCCGTCGCAAAGTGCATCTGTTGTTGGTGATCCTCGTATGGCGAAGCTTGTTCATGCTCATCGTGTCGGAATGATTGCTATGGAAACAATGGGAAATCGAAACTTGGATGATAATCGTAGCTACGCGAAATTTTCTCAGGTAATTTATTATTTGTAGAAGTATGTTAGTTACACCGATTATTTGCTTGTTGGTTAGAACCTGGATTAGAATCAGTGTTCATTACCGTTTGAAACTTCCAGAACCCTGCTTATGCGGAAGACGTTCGTTGGTTATTCACAGTGGCAACACGATTAGGCGGCGTTTTCACCCAAAGTTTTTGTGAAGTAGCAGCTCGATCTGTTGCTTCGCCATTCGTTCTTTTTTCATTAGCTGTTGAATCAGCAAAGGTCGGTGCTTCCACGTAATATTTTGTTCTCTTCAACTGTGGCTAAAATCGTGGAAACTTGACGTTCTTCCAGGAACTTACGATGAGGATTTTCAGGTCTTTCACTGGCAGATGCCCTCGATTAACTACCATTCGCAGTCTGTAATTCTTCCGATCCGGTCTCAGTTAACTGCTGGCGCTCCAAATGTAGGATTTATGAAACTAAGAATATATCAAGGCTTTTGAAGGACTATATAGATAAAAACGATAACCCATTTCCCTTTTTTATAGCATAGCAGTGCCTAAAATAATTACTGTAGGTGCGAACTGTGCTTCTGCAGAATGGATTTGCACCACCCACAGCCGATTTGATGCAGCACTGCGTTGAGATGTTTTACGCTGCATCCAGCTCTAAGCTTAGCCATCCTCGTTTTGTCCCCTCAGATGTTGAAGAGGTATGATTTATTAATATTAGTCGTTACTTTTGACGAGAGTCAAGCGAGGTTAAGTAACTGACAAAAAGAGATCAGGACTAATTTTATGATAACATGTAGAAGCAAATGAAGCATCTGGCTCCACTAGCATAATTTGCTGTGTCAAGATGTATTTTGCATTGTTTGGCTTTATTTTTTCTGAGCAAAAAGAAATTTCGAGATCTTGATACTTAATTGCAGAACATCCATACTTTTTCCTATTTTTTTGTTTTCTGGTTTTACTTCATCTCTAATACACGAAATATTCTGTTCAGGTCGTTCAACTCGTTAAAACTGCAAAGGAAGCTTTCCATTGGATACCAGGACCGGGAAAATTAATGTTTGACGATTTCATGCGGCATGTTCGGAAGCAAAAAGCTTGTAAAAAGGATGTTGCTCAAAGAATCAATGCTTGTGTTCAAAATACAAACTGACGATTTAAAAATCATAAATTAGTATACCTCCTTCACACTACCTGATGTTTATTTTATCAATTAAAGTTAATGATGACCGGAGAGAATGGTCGTGAACTCACAGCTAATGTTTATTGACGACATGTAAGTACCACCAGTACAGTTTTCTATAGTTGTTTTCGCCAGTCACTCAGCTGTCGTAAACAGTGGGCAGTTAGTTCATTTTACGTATGTATGGTTACGTGGTTGTAAATCATATCCTTAAATTCGTGTCGTCATTTCTACCCAAAATAATTTTATATCCTTATGTTGTAACGCATGGACAAGATAGAGAAGCTATCTGGCTTTATGTCACCATTGACGTGATTGTGGCTTAAATTGGTTGACAGGAACAGTTCACTTTTATCCTGTACGGATTTGCTTGTGAAAGGATGAAATTAGAGTGGTGGTCCATTTGTTATAGCATATGCATAGATATAAAAACAGTGATGTGAACAGTGCTAAATTCAGCATTTTCTTCAAAGGTTAAAGATTGTTTCAACATTTCATTCAATTTTTCATGCAGAAGATCGCGGTGGAAAGTAATTGAGTTCCTATCATGGTATTTTGTTGAAGTTTTTTCATTATGTGTTTTGTTGATATTTTTTAAAATAACTGGAAAGTGTGTATCACACGGTAATTCTTGAAATGCTTATGTAATTGTTAAAGGCAGAACTGGCATATTCCAAATGAGTCTGTAATGAAGCATTTTCCAGCGATACTTCCAGTTGATAGATGGTATTAACCAACGATTCAACTAGCAGATACATATATGATTTGGCGACATCTTTGAATAAGGCTTGATTAAGACTATATATGTTTCATAGTTCGAGATGGCAGTAGTCTTGTGTTTACTGCGGTTCATGCGAACACCATTACGTTTCACTCTGGATTGTTAATGGTGCTAAATGAAGAGTGAGATGCCCAAATCGTATCTATTTTGAGTTCCATGGAAAGTTCAGGTTCCTGTTGGTGGTGCAGTTTTGTGGTTTCCTGAGCTGTCACTGCATGTTATCCCTGTCTTCACAATGCTGCATTAGTACTAAGGTTGCGTTATATAAACTATGGTCACTACAAATTTTGTTCCGAATTTGGGTGGGATGGCACAAAAGAGCGAACTTCCGAAAATTTTGCGAGTTGATCAATATGCAGGCGAGATTAACCAGTATGGCAATCGTTGGAACAAAAGACCGTTTCTAAGTTATTCTCTGACAAACTTGAGGGTGTGCAGAGAAACGTCTAGTGCTTGTTAGAATCGGAGAGTTATGTTTTGATGAAAACCGGAGAACACAGAGTTGGGAGTGTTTTTTGCTTTTGTATTCAGCCTGATTGTCCTTCCCATATTTGTATTTCCGCATCTTTTCATGTAATCCTCCTTACAAAAATGGTACTCTTTGAACTGAACAAGAGTGGAGATGACACATTCCTTCAGCAGATCCAACAGACTTATCGTGTAGTACTTACATATCGTGTAAAGAGAAACTGAGATCACGTGTTCCTTTCATTTTTTCTCCAAGCAAAGCTAGGTCAGATGTTTTATTGCGTGATTTCGAAGATTTAATTGGTGCATTGATTCGTAACCGTTAAAAACCGTAGTTGATTCATAACCGTCACAGTTTCAAGCTATTCTGTTTTAATCTTTATTTGTAGGACGAAAATACTGTCACTAAGTTGAATCCAAATTGCTTATTCTGTGATTATTAGATCTGATTGTTGATTGTGCGATTGTTATATGTGGGAAAGGGCTGCAACATCTTTTTGGCGCTTGGGCAAAAGATTCAAGAACTCTGGAAAGGGAGTCAACAAGAAAAATTACAAAAATGAAGGAAGCATTGGGACTACAAACCACATCGAAGACAAATCAACGGGGAGCACTGTGCCTCGAGTAACTTTTTTATCATTAATTTCGAATGACAGGTTTACCAGGACAGTATGTGTTCTTGTATTTCATTCTAAACATTGCTAATAATGAAGCTAGAATTTTAAGTAAAACGTAAGCATAACCAACTGTTTATTATTGGTTCTAAAATTCCAGTGTGGTAGAATAGTGGAAAAGTCCATGAGATTCATTTTTTCAAGTTAGTTATATTTAGAGGATTAGTTTAAATTTGGGATTTTCAATTCATAATTGGGAGATTTATTCTTTAAGTATTCTTTGAGTTTTTTATTTTATTATGATCGATTGATTTTTGTTTTCTAAAGTGTTGAATCTTTGTTTTTTATTGGTTTTTCATGTTTTTTTTCTAATCTCTTTTTACATATTTCCGTATTGTTTCTAATTTTGTTGATTTAGCATTGAGGGAACGGCTGCACTAGAAGCAGTCCAATATACACTATGTAATGAGCAGTGTAAAATTTAATGTTTAACAGTATTTCCATTCCCTTCATTATATGTTACTATAATTTATCTTTCAGTCTCAGCCATTCACATCGAATTCTCCTGCAATGCATCTTTCATATCTTTCGTCGATTCTTTCTTCGTTGTGGCCTTCTGATGGGACAAGGGAAATAGAAAAGGTTGACATAAAGTGGGTTTACGAATATATCTTGTAATATAAACCGTAGCATACCGATTTCAAAAATATTATTAGTGGTCATCTTCTTATCCACTAAAACAAAGGCTTAAATTTTCTAGGAATAAATTGATGATCATTGTGAACTTGACTTTCAAATTTCCAGATAATTTTTGGATTCGTCTTAGATCAGAATTTTCTTATTAATAGGGAGTTGGAGAGGGAGTTGGTCTCGCCATCAAAGTAGGTAAAAGTACATCACTAATTAACTGAACAAAACAACGGGAAATCAGTGCAACAGTTACACTTTCAAGTGTATGATCATACTTCGATAGCCAGCCTAATCATTAATTTGCTAAGTGATTAGTTTGATTGACCGAGATGGCTTAGAACTGGAGCCACGAACTTTACGACCTTGTTCGGTGTGCAGTCACACCAGCCCCGAAAACATTCCCAAGAACAGTAACATATAATATTACTGGAAAATTTACTTCGAGTGAAAACATGTGAGTCTTGGCTGTTTTAAATAGTTTTTAGTACTACCAAAAAAATGTATTTAATTTTTACGTTTTTGTGCTTTTCCTGATGTCAGTGTTACAGAACACTGCGTAAAAAAGTAATTAGTGTACCGAAGTCGACACTATTCGACCAGACGAGATCACTTGTGTCCAGCTTACTCTCTGCAGAAACAGATGGATCTGTGATGTTGAGAACACGAGAATTGTGTAAACATTATGTGGAATATCCTGAGGCGCGTGCTGTTGGACTTCAGGTCTTCATTAAGAAATTATATGTAAATAAGGAAATGCTTTAGAGTAACGGGTTCTGTTGCAAAATGCCTTGAAGTGGGTGAATGAAATATCGAGACAGATGTATGGCTTAAAGCAACGGCTAGCTACCTTGTAAGATTGGCGTATGCGAAAAAAAGAAGTTACTTCTTTGTTCATTTAGTTCCATGATTCAGTTACGAAGAAGTTGAAACTTCTTTTGCGACGGACTAATGACGAAATGTTCAAAGAACACGTTCGGCAGTTTTTACTCCTCGTGGGGGATGTTAGCATTCCGCGTGGGGCTGGTATTCGAGTGTTGTCACTTGATGGTGGAGGTACGCGAGGTGTAGTAGGCCTTGATATTTTACAAGCACTGGAAAATAATTTGAAAGGATCAAAGGTTTGCTTTTGAATTCTACGTAGATCAAAACAAAGAAAAAAACATAATTGAAACAAAGCTTTTGTTTCAATTATCTTATCCAACATCTTCGGTTATAATGTGGAATGATGCCAGAAGGATTGTTTTAACTGTATTGTTAGTATTACAAAGGACCTTTCCAGGTTGTCGAAGTGTTCGACCTGATCGTGGGCGTAAGTACTGGAGCTATTATCGGTGCATTACTCACTGCTAAGAGGTTATCAGTTGAGAAATGTAAGGAGGTTTATATTGAGATCTCAAGGGAACTTTTCAGCCAGGGAAAATTTTCGGGAATGAGCAGTCTTCTTCTTTCACATGCTTACTATAATACTGAAAAGTGGAAACAGATTCTAAAGAACGTAAGTAAGCACATCGTGAACATATCTTTCAATATATATTTTTTAAATATCATCGGTTTTCTTTGCTGAATTGCTTAAAAAAATTTGCTGTCAATGCTTTATCGTTTCGCATATAAAAAGGAATTTGCTAGTGCACAGAAACTAACCATAGATGTATTGGAATGTGAAATATCGTTGGACACTGCATCATTTTCTGCATATAATTGAGATGTGGATAAGTGGATAGCGAGGTATGCAGACAATTCAGGTGTCTTTAAAAGTATTTTAAAAGAGGTTTTGTTAAAGGTTATCGGCGAGGACACGTTATTAGAAGTATGTGGGCGCTGGGATACTCCCATGCTCAGTATAGTAGCTTGCACTGTGAATACACCAACTCTGCAACCATATATTTTTCGTACTTATGGACATCCCAACGGAAGTGAAAGCCACTACCGTGGAGGGTGCAATCACAAAGCTTGGGAGGCTTTGCAAGCTTCTGCTGCTGCTCCAGGCTATTTTCAAGAAGTGAGTATATCTTCCGTTCCATTTAATTTTCTATTACATGAAGAGATTTCTATAACGGTATTAAGCTCATGCTTATACTTCTCGTATTCAAGCCTCATGAACTTGCATAATTTATATTTCTTTGAATATTGGCTATTATATGCGGAATCTTGCTACATGTAATATATCTCTTGTAAATATTGCCGAATAAATACCTAGATTAGATTGACACCTCAAAATTAAGAGATTTGTCCAACAACTTTGTTGTACAATACTAGCAGCTTTTTTACGGCTAGTCCTCTCCTTATGCGGGATTCCAGACATGTTTTTGCAGGTTCCACTCGGGCCACTACTGTATCAAGACGGTGGCGTACTTACTAATAATCCTACAGCTTTAGCAGTTCATGAGGCACGCATGCTTTGGCCACATGAACGAATACAATGCGTTGTTTCTGTCGGTAATGGAAGAAACGTTTCAGAAGTCGAACTGAATAGCGTAAAGTTCGTTACAGATCATATTTAATTTGTCATAGGGACAATTACTCGGTGCCTTATTCGTACAAAAAAAATATGTTGTTTGTATTACAGTATTGACGCAGTATTTATGATCCCATCGTCTAACGCTTGCTGTGATGTGTCCTGGAACAAAGTGTCTGTTGATCGCGCTTGCTTCAATGATTTAATGATTTTTGTTTGAGGCTGTCTACACGGCTTCAAGAGAAAATCTTACGGATTATTGATTCAGCGACGGATACTGAACTTGTCGACTTATGTATGCGTGATACTTTGTCGAAAGGGTCATACATGCGTTTTAATCCGTACACCAGCTATCCGTATTCTCTGGATGAAATCGACCCGAAAAAGTTCGTAATTAACAAACTACATTAAGGAGCTACATGCAAACAGAAGCCTTAGTTGTGGCAAAAGAAGTGCACTTGCTTGAATTTCGCACCTGATCACATCATCTTACATGAGAAATGCAATAATCACATATGATTCTCAGACCATTTGTATTATTCAGGTTGGAACAAATGAGCCAGGATGCGCAATTGTATATTTCACGAAACCAGACCAAGTTTGAGGCTACAGCAAAGATTCTCTTGGCTGAACCATCACTGAAACAGCGCTTTGTTCGAAAATGGAACAAATTGGTAATCTACTAAAATGCATGATGCAAAATAAATAAAAATTCTCGTACCAACACTGAAGTGGCATTGAAATCAAAATTTGTGAAATTGAGAGGATATGTGGGAACCTCCCTACAACCATCTGGCACTGCTCTTATTTATTTTAACCGTTAAGTTTATCATTTTACACAACATCATATGTTAGGTGTCGTCAAATTATACAACCACCTGGTATTGCTCATATTTTATTTTTAACCGTTAAGATTATCCTTTTGCACAACATTACTTATATGTTAAGTGTCATCAAATTATGAAATAAACAAGGCCACGTAATTCATTTTCAAAGCCGGCAGTCCATGGGACATACACTGTAAACATAAAATTCCTCAAATATTTGCTAAACGAATGATTTAGAAAATCCTGTCGTGAGGATAACTTCACAGAGAATCCCATTCGTCGCTAATAACGCGCACGAGGAAAACACCACCAGCGAAAACTACCAGACCCTTACACATACTCCTGCAAGAATTTTGAAATAAAATTTTCAGCTAATATAAGATATATGCAACAAGTGCGAAAAGACAGTCATAATGTCTCCAAACTGATGCAAACAGAAAGACCATTTACGAAGAACATTTTCATCGAAAGATATGTCAATTTACATAAAGACTTGACTATAAACACATTATATTGCCCCGACAATCTGAATTTACTGCCTTATCAGTAAAAACATATTCCTTGTCACCAGTTAAAAAATTTCGAAATTCACTTACCAGTAAAATGGATTATGATAAATCCATGAAAGAGATCCTCCATCTGAAGATGGCGGCGCTGCTTGTATACGAATCATTATACAAATATGCTCTGAAAGAGGCAATAAGACGTGCCACATAACAGTAAAACCAGGTAAACCCAATACAACACTAACTGACATAAGTAATACCATTACTTTATTGAAGCTGATCAGAAATACGCCCATAACTCCCCCAACTAACGATATATTGAACTCAGTAACCTTAGCAAGCAGTGGTCGTTATCAATATACCAAATCTTATACATACAAGCTAATTCAGCGACCATGTGGTATACCTGGGTTCACTGCGTGTCTTCCCTTCCAAACCGATAATAAACGAAGATTTTAAGCAACCCGTGGAGAAATACCAAATACTCCATTGAAACAACACATCAAGACGAGATTTTATAACTTCAATCCATCAATGCACACAAAATAAAGATATACAAAAGAACAAAACTGGAGAAAAAAAAAGATTCAGTGCTACGTTTCTCGAAGCCACGTAATAAACAGAAGCAAATATATAAGAGAAATCGCAATGGAAAACAGTCATTATTACCATCGGAATGAAGCGATCGAAATGTAAAAGGAAGCATTTGAAGTGAGATGAGAATAAAAGACGGTTAAAAATTAAACGGAAGTATGATTTCATAAAAGGTTTGGTCAAACAAAATGATATACAAATCCAGCATAAAGTGAAGTGCGGAAAAAAAGTTCAACAGAAAAGCCGAAAGCTATAACATCAGTTCAGTTTTAACAAGAAACAGATATATGGATGCCTTTCCCGGAACTTACACAGAAAAGAAGCAAACACTCATTTGTGGATTATAAATATACAGTTATTAGAAGGCCCTAAATTATAAAGTCCACGAAAATGACGGTATTAGTTATCCACGTCAAATTTCATACCTCTATTTCTTCAATTTTCGAATAATGTATTAAGATGAAAGCAATAACCCAATTACACCATACAGTCACAACACTAATTATCTGAGCCAACTCAAAATTTCACATACAAGCAGAAATCGTGCGTTAAAGATAAATCACAGTATGTCAATTAAAATCACATAATACACTTAAAGAAGTAAGCTCTGGCGTCGACTTGCGCGAGTATTCCGACAGCTCGTACGATCTGACGTTACTGAATCCTTGACCAATCGGACTCCAGGAACTGACATAACAGATTCATAGTCAGACAACTCGAAAATTGCCCTTGGTAAGAATGAATGTAAGAATGAATGTTGTAACGCATCCGCTGCTGACAATCGCTTCCGACCTTCGTACTGAAATATTCAAACTAATTTTAAACTGGACAAAGGATTCTCCAAAAGTTTTCCATGGCATTAGGACAAAATATCGATAATTCTCAGCTAAAAACAACAGGCTTTTTATGTCATATTAACGACTTAAGAAGCGTTCTGTACCTGGAGTAAACGATGTAAGAGATCATTTGCATGCTGATCAATTCTTGGACATGCATTCTGCAAGCTGTTAGGGCGATAGTAAGGGAATCTACATAAGCGAAATGTAGTTGAGTTACATATCTGCGGGTGACTGGATGATGAAGGAGTGCCAAGCATGTGGAATATTAAAAGAAGTTGTTCTTCAACGGCAGACCCCGGAAACAACGCATGCCCTGCAACAGCTTTTTATTTCTGATACCCTTAAATCAAAAAGATTTTATAGCAAGACATCTTAACCAAATTCATCAGATTTTATATGATAAATCTCAGTATAGGCAAAATTATATAATATAAATAGAAAAAGGACGAACCAGAAATCATTTCGAAAAGAATGCACCCAACACCCCACATATCGATATGGGTTGAGTAGTCTGTGGAACCCAACAAAACGTCAGGTGGACGATACCACAATGTCACAACCTAAAATAGTCTTTCACGAGACTCAAAGTATATACTCCCATGCTGCACTAAAGTCAATGACATCTGACAGTCAAACAGTGAGCACCGCGAAGGGATAACTGTCAACTGACTAATGTCTCGTAATGATCGTCTGACTCTGGCAAAGCGGCGGAAGAATAGAAATATTTAGTAACTGAAATATCTACTGAAGTTCTCACATTGATAGCTGGAGTACGTAATGAAGCAGTTACATTTTGGTAAAGTGAACGATCAAAGGAATTGTAGGACGAAATGCCTTTAACCTATTATCAAACTTTCAATGGGTATGACGTCTTTCTTGCTTAAATGGAATGTAGACACTGAATATGTGCTCCAAGTGAGTTATTTTTTGCAAGCGGAACTGACGCTGTGGAAAAAATCAAACGTTGAATTCAAGTATAAGTCTCCATTCAACGATTCTCATACTAAACCAAAGTCGGCATATAAAAGGTAAAAGTTCTGGTAGTTTTGAGTAGAAAAAACTATCCAGAACAGAGTAATCAAAATAGAC